GCTTTCCAGCAAACCTTGCTGCCCAAGCACAGGACAGACAGTCATGCCCTGTGGGCTAGAGGTGAAAGGTGGGCGGTCACAACCTGGCAACAACTTAGACCCATTAGAACAGCATCTTCCTAGCTGGGAACATCAACCCAGTGTGATTTTAATTGCATTAATTAGTCGCCTCTAGCACCCAGGCCACTGACGAAAACCTGCGGCTTCCTTGTCCCCGGAGACTCAACAACTCCCAGGGTTCTGCTTTCAGAATTAACTGAGGCATTTGCTGACGCAGGCCACAGCAGCTGGCCCCACGTGGCCGTGGCCAGGAGTGAGAGTTTAAGATGAAGTTCTCTCCATCCTTTAACTCCCAGCCCAAAGGAAACCAACCAAAGCAGATAGAACAAACCCAAGTATGGTGGCCTGATTTTTGATGGTGTAGCCCCAAATTACAATTAACTTTCAGTTATTGGGTTTATCATATCTGGAGCCATGGTTCCAAAGTTTTAAATGCCTAAAAATTCACCTGTTACAAATGAAATTCCCAGGTATCACCACCATCGTTTCTAATGTAGGTCAAGGGTGAGCCCCTGAAATCTAAATTCACACCCAACATCCCCCAGTGATGTTGAAGGAACATCAGGAAGTTTTGAAACATTTCTCTAAGTCTTTGTTTATAGGATACTAAGCCGCTCACAAAGTGAAGGAGTATTCACCTCAAAATGGCTAAAATAGCACATTAAGAGAAAAAATTCAACATGCCATAAGCATAAATGGAAAACTGTGAAAAAGAAAAATGGTACTTTGCTTATAAAAATAACCAGACTTTCGAACATCAAAATTACACAAAATTTAAAGAAAATCCATTGGACAGGGCAATGCAACAAACAAGAGGGGAAAATGGCCATTATCCTTAGTAAATAAAAATGCAAAGATACATACCAGAACAAATAAATGAACAAAGGTCTAGAAAACTGATAGAATACAAATACAAAATAAATAAAACTACTCCACTCAAATGAAATCTCACCATGAGAGTAATAGGGATAGACTTTGAGGGAATTAGGTGAAGTGATAAGTCAGGAGGCATAAGACCCCACATGGTATCCTATGGGCATGCTATTTATGGAATATAAAGAAGACAGAAACCCTTGGACTCTGATAACAGAATGGTGGTTACCTGGGGGAGAAAATGTGGAGAAGGGGCCAGCTGACCCAGTGGATGAACACTGGGCATTTGATGTTGGACATGGCAAGAAAACGTCCTGGTAGAATCCAAACAGTGTTGGAAGCTAATGTTATCTCAATAAAATACAAATATAGTCAGGACCTCCCTGCTGGCCTAGGGGTTAAGTCTTAGAGCTATCATAACTGTGGCCTGAGTTCAGTCCCCTACCAGGGCGCTGACCCACATGGCATGACAGACCTCTCCTGTCTCCCTGCTGCTCCCCTCAGCAGTGTATTTCAGTCAATCTGCCTGTTCTGCTCCCCACTCTCTCTGGTGAATCCTCTCACCCCCACCCCGTACCTCTGGTCTGTACCTCAGTTCTTCTATGCAAAAATAACTTTTAAAAAATAATAAACAACGCAAATTTATTAAAATAAAAATATATTCACATGAAAAGACACTTTAAAACTAAAGCAATGTATTACAAATTTATTTAACAAGTTTTTTTTTAATAATATTAATGCTAGTGACGGTGAATTGAAACTCAACCGCCTAAATGCCAGGGTGTATATCAGCCTCGCAGCTTTCAAAAAGTTGCTTCATTTCCACCATCACTCACTGAGCACCTAGTAGGCACCCAGCACTCTGAACAAAGCATGCAATGATGCAGCCTGATGGGCCTTGAATTTAATTACATTCTGATTTCCCCTCTAGAAATGCATACTAAGAAAAAAAAGACCCACACACAAAAGAAAAATAAATAGACTTGCCTACACAGCTACTCATCATAACATTTATAACAAAATAGCTGAAAATAATTATATAAACTATTAGGATGGAAGGCTGTTTTCAAACATTTAATGAATCAAGAAATACTTAAGTTAATAAATAAACAGGAGTAGTGGACACAACTGTGCATGTAATTCAACTTTTTAAAAGTTAACCAAAAAAAGAGACCACTATTTACAGTGTTACCTCTGGGTTGTGAACTTATGGATGTTTTTTTTCTGTACCTTTTGGTAACTTCCAAATTTTCAAAAAATTATCAATTTCATAATCTCAATAATTTTAAAAAGCCTTTTCTCCCTGAATAAGCTAAAGAAATGGGACATCAATTCTTTCTTTATAGACTAGGGCTGCAGGATCACCCCAAAGTACCACACTTTAGAGTAAGTCCAAAGTATTACAAGTTGTTTACACAACAGTGAAGAGTGAAGACCCAACTTAGAAATGTTTAAACATCCCACCCTCTTCACCAAAAAAAAAAAAGTTTAAACAAACCAAAAAAGGGGGCACATTCAAAAATACTGAACGAAGTAGAAATAGACAAGAAATCAGTAAAACATGGAAATTGAAATAAAGAGAGAAACAAAGGGTCCAGCTAGCAGGTGCCGTCCATTTAACAAAAGTTGACAAAGAGGAGCCTGCGCAGGAGGTGGTTTTCAGGCTGCAAGAAGGTTTCCGTGCCTAACCCAGCAAATCCAAACCAGGATTAACACCTGCCATTTTCAGACTAGCAGCTTACTCTAGGGAAAGAATCACCGCCCGGCAGAGCTCGGCTGAGGCCCCCCAGTCCTGCTCTGCTGGTGAAAGTACAACCATCAGGACTGGGAGACAGAGGGTCCTGGTGGCTCAGGACAATTGAAATGCAACCTCTGCCCAGGACCAAGCAGCAGTCGCCCGGCCCAGACATCCCGCATTAGGAAGGCGCACTCCCACGAGCGGTCCCCAGTGCCTCCAAGAAGTGGACCAGGGGCCCTTCAGAGGGCGTCGGACGGCCGGACCCCTGACTGGCGGGTCCTCACTGCCCTTTGTGCCCGTGAGCAGTGGAGCGGGGTCCGCTTGCTGGCGCACCGCTTTGCAATCCCAGCTGGACGGAGGCCAGGCGCGTGGGGTCCTCTGCTCCTTCTGTTCCTGTCCTACTCCCAGCCTGGAAGCAGCCGCGCAAACCAAGCACCCAACACACAACAGTGAAGGGATGACATGCTGCTTCTGTGGCCTAGAGTGGACAATGAATTTATGTCATGTCTCCAGGTAGAATATTTAGATTGGGGGGTGTGAAGAAACAGGAATAGATTCTAAAGAAGAGAAAGTTCTGGACACACAGTCCCAATGGCTCCACTATTTATTGTAAATGCATCAAAAAAAACTACATTCTCCATAACATCTACCGTTTATCCAGATGGCCACACAGGCTTGGGGAAGCCTTTGAGTGCAGAGGTTAAGTGCACAGAGTTTGCAGCCAAACAGACCTAAACAAACTCCAGATGCCTTCATTTCCTCATCTGTGAAATGGGGGTAGCGATGCCTGGAGCATGCACAGGAGAGGCAGTGCCGGGCACTCAGGGGCACTTGGCCCCTGAGTTTGCCGCGCCCACAACTGATGACCCCAGAAGCCTCCGATGGGCTTGCTCAGTTGACTAAAGCCAAGAGCGCACTTCATGATGACCTCCTCTCACTGAAGGCCAGAGGTCTCCTGGTCTGCACAAGCAGGGGCAGGACTGAGCCCTGACGTGCTAGGTTAACTCCAAGTCCTTTGCACTCTGCAAATTGCCTGAAAGGAGACCCACCTGGCGCACCCGGAGCTGGCGTCTCTCCCGAGGCTGGTTCCATCTGACTACGTGAAATCACTGTGGAGGTCTCTGGTGTAAGCCAGTCAAGGGGGGTGGGGGTCTGAAAGAGTGATGACTACACCAACTAGCCTGTGACCTTGAGCCAGTCACTTCTCTGTATCAGTTTCTTCTTTAGTAAAGGCAGGGTCCCCTTCTGAGAACCCTGAACCCCTGCGGGTGCTTCTACAGTACCTGCCCCTCTGTTCTGCTCGTTCTCATTCCAGCAGAGAAGTCCAAGAGACTTCAAATGGGTTCCATTTCCTCCCCAAGCCACTGGCCGGGGCTCCATCCAGGAGCACGGAGGATGTAAAGCAGCTTCCATGCGTTCTGTTCCCTCTGCACTGCCAGTGCCACCTTCCCTTTGCTGCCCCAGGCAGTCCAGGGGTAAGCTGGGCCCCAGCACCCGCCTGCAGCCTGTCAGCTCAGAGACGGGTGTCCAGGTCTCCAGGCCATCCCGTGTGAATGCTCAGGGTGGACAAACAAACATTTGGGAGAAGCAACACGAATTAAAATCATTTCCTAACAACAAAACCCGCCCACATGCTTCTTCATACATCATGCCTCCTAATTCCATGCTAACAGTCTCTAAACTGCATCTATTATAAAAACAGCCCTTACTCCTTTCACGCCCTGACACTCAGGGATCACAATATTTCCACACTCCATTGTACTAATGCCTTTGCAGAAGTAACAGCAATCGCTGTTTCCCTGGAAAGATGCACGGCCAGGGCGCTTTCCAAGAGATTTTCTTTGACTGTTCTTTGTGTCCTAGTGCACTGGGGGCCGCGGCCAGCCTGCCTGCCTCGGCGGGGGACGCGGGGCCACCCAGAGTCGGGCACAAGCAGCCGATGCACCCCCTTCGCCCCGACAACAAAGTATTCCAAAACATTTGCTACCCACCTTCCCAGAGCCATGCACAAACAGCATCCCCGTGCCTGCATTTTGCAGGGAAAATAAAAGCGCATTCAGAGAGATGCAGCCGCCAGACCCGCCTCCGGCGCGGTGGACACCGAGGCTGGCCCTCCAGACCTCCGGCAAGCTGGGTCAGAAGCCGCCGGCTTTCGCGTTCTCTTTTCCCCCTGCCTCTCTCTGCTGGGCCCAGCAGAATGGAGAGGCGGCTCCGGCCGGGAGCGCCGGGAGCGGCGAGAATAAAGAGGGTGGACGTGAGAGGCTCCTGCACATACCAGCAGCACAGGCGGGCAGGGGCGCGGGGCGCGGCGGGGCGCGGCGGGGCTTACCTGGGGCGCACGCGGCGGGCCCGGCCAGCAGCAGCAGCCAGAGGCCGGGGAGCAGCAGCCCCGGGCGGCGGCGGGCGCGGCGGGCGCGAGGCCCCGGCGCCAGCGCGACCCCGGCGCGGGGCTCCCCCTCCATGGCCGCGCCTCGGCGTCGGCGCCGCGCCCCCGGCAGCCCGGCGGGCCCGGCCGGCCTCGCGGCTCGGCGCTCGGGCCCAGCAGGGGCGGCCGCGGCGAGGCGGCGGGGACCGGGCGCCGCGCTCCGCGCACAGAGGCCGGCGAGCGCGGGCGGGCGGGCGGGGGCCGGAACCGCGGACCGGGGCCGCCAGCCGCGCGCCGGCCTCGCCGCTCCGCCCCCTTCGGAGCCCGGAGCCGGCGCTGCCCGGCAACGCGCGGGCCCGGGGCGCGGGGAGGCGAGCACCACCTCCCGGCCGGCCGGCGCCTGCCTGCGGGCGGCGGGCGCGGGTGCCACGGGGCGGCGCGGCGCGGGGCCGCGGCCCGGCCCTCCTCCGGGCCCGCCTCCCGGGCGGGGGCGCCGGGGGCCGCCGGAGGCCTGGCCCCGGGGCGCGCCGCCCCGGTGGCCCCGCGCGACCGGCCCCGCGGGGCGCCCGCAGGACGCGAGGCCCGCGAGGAAGGGCGAGAGCCGCCCCCAGCCCGGCCGCCCCGCGCGCGCCTGCCTCGCGCTGCTGCGGGCTGCGCGCGGGCGGCAGGTGTGCGGGAGCCCCAGGTGCTCGGGTGCCCGCGCCTGGGGACAGCCGTCGGGGTCGCAGAGGACAGCGCCGGCCCCGGCCCAGCAGCCCGATGGACCATGGAGGGCCGCGCTGCCTGTCCTGCCCGGTCTCCCTCCGGCCTAGAGGTTCTGCCTCTTGTTCGGGTCGTGGATAAACGACCGGACGCCCTGGGCCCGGGAGACCCGCAAGACCCCGCAGGTAGAAGGCCTGCGGGACGCGCCTGCTGAACCGAGCTGGAGCGGAGCTGGAGACACCCCGCACGTCCAGGCCCCTTTGAGGCAATTTAGGGCAGGGGGACAGAGAGCAGGGCAAAGATTGGTGTTTGGGGGTGGGGGGTAGAAAAGGTGAAGAAGGGACTTAGCGTTTGGCCGAGGGCTGCTGGGTGCCCGGCATCCAACGCCGACGACCTCAGTAGTTTAAAAGGTCTTGGAACAAGGATTTGCAGTTTTGGACCTTTGCATGGGGTGTGAGTGCTGGCGGCAGGCAGGGTACTGAAGGGGTGAGTTGGTGCTGTAGTGCTGCCCTGGAAACTGGCGACAGCGGGCAATGTGAATCATCTACACTGACAAGAGGATAGTGTCTGCTCTGAGCTCCGGTTTGCCTGCTAGGCCCAGCCAGGCAGCTCTAGTCCATCTAGGAGTCTGGCCTGGTGGGGAGGTTATTGGAGAATGGGCAGTGGCCTTAGCTTCTGTGGATGTTCCTCATTTGTTGAGGACTTTGTTGTGCCTCCGCTTTATAAACAGTCCCTACTCTGAGCAATTGATCTCCTCCATCTGCCGCCCATAAACAGAGGCCTTTGCATATCTTACCCCAGCACCTTAACTCCAGGTGAGGACCTCTAGGAGACACTGTGTCTAGATTTGTCTGGTCCCTGGACACAAGTTCCTAGATCTGAGACCTCTTGTGCATGTTTTTCTTCATCCACCCAACTCATTGTGTAAACACCTCATCTGACCACAAACTGCTGCCTAGGGGTAATTCTTAACTTGTTTTGTCCTGTTGTGTTACATTATGTTTTATGCAGTTATACTTTACCTTTCAAGACAACCACATTTATAAGACTTAAAAGATGGTGCCACTCTGCGAGGCTTTCCCATAGCACCAGTAAATCCCATTATCCATGTGCCATTCTGAACCAGAGGCTCAACCTTTCCAATTTGACCCCAGCTTCCAGTAAATCTCACCTACACTAGAACCAGAATGTAAGCAGATGGAGGTGCCCTCTCAATTCTCAGCTAGTTCAAGGAAAATGAAATGTTTGCCCAGCCATTGAGAAGGGACTGTCATCTGTCGGAAATAAAAATCGCAACTTCAAGATATTAGAAACGATTCAAGGTCACCAACTCTCTAAGAAAAGTCAGATTCCCCAGGGAGCCACAGTCTGGAAGCTCTGAAGGCATAATGTTAACTAATACTTCTGTAATGATTTAGGGCATTAGGCCTCAGTGTTTAAGAAAAGGTCTCCCAGGGCTCTGACAGTCCAGCTGGTAAGCTGTGTGACTTGGAAGTCCAAGACAGAATGGTACAGGTGTGTGGCCATGCACACACACACACAAACACACACACACACACACATGCGCCCCCACATGTATAGACACACACACCTACGCATTGTGTTTGAGAAGAATTAAGACAAGACCTTAAGTAAGTCATACCAAATTATGCAACAAATAAATCTAATGAGCACTGGTAAGCACCTACTGTGAAGTGCTGGTGTTATGGGGGAATATAAAAGAAACTACTTTGAGATTACCTCATCCAGTTCTCATTTTATAGCTAAAGATACAAGTCAGAGAGGTTAGTTTATTTACCTAGGGCTGTCTGCCCCCACAGGCATGCTCACATCCTGCTTTCCACAGGACCTCTGGGGGAGAGGGGAATTGGCTTGGTCCTCAAAAGGCTTATAGTCTGGTTTGGGGAAGGGGGAAAATAGGATCAGTTCACCCTTAAAGGCCTTAGATCCTCTGGGCTTCCCCTAAATGCACCTCTTCCCACATGACAGGTATTCTGAGAGGCCAAGGCAATACCCCACCAATTCCCTAATTCCCCCATGCTGTCCCTAATTCCCTCATGCTCAGGGGCCCAGGACAACAGAATACCCTGGCCGCTCGACTCCAGGCCTATTTCCAGGACCTATGTGGCCTCTTCCTCCCAAAGGGTGGGCCAACAGCTCCTGTGTCTGGTCCCAAGGGTGGCCAACGGGTGCCTGCGTGCAGGGAGTGGTGGAGTTTTGACATGAGGTAGGGTGAGAGGAGCACATAAAGCTTATAGGAGGGAAGCAAAGAACTAAGGACTGGAAGAGACGGCAGAATGAACTCCATTACCATGAGGCAAATTTGCTGCCGTGTCCTGCCGGGAGTCCAAGGAGTCTGAGCACACTGCTTTGACCTGCCCAGCCAGGCGGCTCGGAGGGTATACTTGGCAGGAAAAGGCCTTGCTTAATAGTGTGCTTGCTTAGCATGTAATTTCCTGACATTTCAGTGGATGCTATATGGGCCTCCATTTGTATTTTTGACCTGGGCATCTCAAGTCTTAAGGATGGGCATGGCTAGAAATGGGAAGGAATGATGGACAGGCCAAGTAGTTAAGAGGAAGTGGGACTGAGCCCAGGAGTCCTGGAGCAGGAGTCAGAATGACTGAGTTCTGAGCTCTGCTCTGTCTCACCAGGTTTCATCTTGAGCGAAAGGCTTGTCCCTGCTCTGAAGCCTCAGTCTTATGTGGTGGTGCCTGTCTTGCCCCAGCAGTGCATTGCTATGAATATAACCTAAAAATTCAGGAGACCTTTAAAAAGAAAACATGTTTATTTGGGATCAAAAACTTGCAATTTGGAGAAGACAGATTCAAATTGAAAACCTAAAGCATGCCCCAAGGAGGGACAATGGGATTTTTCATGAGCAGAAAAGAAAATGAGGTAAGTGATTAAAGAAAAGACTCGATTAGTGTTAACAAGTAGACACTGTGCTTGACCATACAGCATTGGTTACTGATTCTCTAGAAAGAATGAAAAGGGAACTTTCAGTTCTATCCTCTGGCTACAAGTACTTAATCATCATTTCTCAAACAATTGTTTGCTTGGTGGTTTCTTAAACAATTGCTTTTGATTCACCCTGAAGCTCTCGGGCCCTGTTCAAAAGTCTTTGACCTAGTTCAAAGGAGACAGACGAAGCAAGTAATGTCCTTCACGATTAGGATTATACAAAATCAGGTAATGCCCGTAAAGTTCATTCATTAAAATTAAGACAATGGCCTTTCCTTATGGAGTTTACATTCTAGTGAGAGGAGATAGGCAATAAGCAAGTAAGTGAAGCTGCACTTGGTGAGACAGAGCTATGGCGACTACTAACAGGGGAAAGGAGTGTGTAGAGACGAGGTGTCACCATGTCAAATTGAGTGATGGGGTGATCTCTCTAATACAGTGATAGTGAGCCAGGAATATATCTGGGAAAGGGATTCCAGGCAGAGGTAGCTACTGTGCAAGGTGAAGAAGCTGGAATAAACATTCAAAAATATTTACTGTACCCCTAGTAAGTGACCCAAATGTGCTGAATAATGACCAAGATTAATTCACTACAGTTTTTTTTTCAAAGAGCTAACAATCTTACAGAAAAAAAAAAATAAGCTTAAAAATATATTATTACAAAGCAGAACATGACAAGGGTCAGAGAGAAGTTACAATGGTCAGGAAAAGATTTGATGGGGGGAGGGGGTGTCAAGGAGCATACTGTTGTGGACTTGCTTACAAGTTGCACCTCAGCAGCCCTTTATCTTTAATTGCTTTAAAGATAAAGAGGATTTGTTAAAAGTGGAATTTTGTGAAGCAGTTTTAAAATTAAAGCTGAGAGGGCCTCCCTGGTGGTGCAGAGGTTAAGTCTCAGCACTATCAAGCTATCAATAGCCACTGCGGCATGAGTTCGAGCCCCAGCCAATGAACTGACTCATATGGCGCAGCAGACCTCTCCTGTTTTGCCCACTGCTCCCCTCAGCAGTGTTTCAGTCAATCCACCTTTTCAGCTCCCCACTCTCTCTGGTGAATCCTCTCACCCCCCCACACCTCTGGCCTACACTCCAGCTCTTGTATGCATAAATAAATCTTTGGGGGGAAAAATAGAGCTGACAGCCATTACAGAGGACTTGTGTCACCTGTCTCTTTTTGAACTAGGTCAAAGACTTTTGGACTGGGCCAGGGATCTTTGGATTGAGTCAAAAACAATTGTTCAAGAAATCATCAAGCAAACAATTATTTGAGAAATGACATTGTGGACTTTTAGCCAGAGGATAGACTCTGTCATCCTTTCTAGAAAATCAGTAACCATGATATATAGCCAAGAACAGCTTAACCCTGTTAATGCTACAAAACTTTTTCTTTCTTTTTTTAAAATACATTTTTCTCTCACTGAGGTAACACTGGGTTAGAATATTGCACAGGATTCAGAAATACAGGGTCACACCTCTCCATTCACCACCAAGGTATCCATAGTCCTCCACCACAGTCCATTGCCCCCCCACCCCCCAACTTTGGTGTCCACCCTCCTCCTTCCCCACCGGTAGCTTCAGTTTTATAGTGAGATTTCTAGGGTATGTGTAAGGGCAGGAACGGACACAGTGCAGGTTTTCTAGGATCCAGCAGACCGGGTAAAGGAGGAGGCAGAGTCCTCAGTGGTTTTTGCAGGTCTTTTATTGGGATTACCAGTTACATGGCAGGCAGAGGCGCTGGGGGGCCGGGAGGCTGGCGGGCCTCCCAGCCCCCAGCAAGTCTTTACTCTTTCTGGGCTCTCCGGCGTTCTCTCTGCTTCTCTGCTCTTGGCTTCTCTTTCAGCTTCTTTCTCTGCTTCTCTTTCGGCTTCTGTTCCGGCTTCTGCTGCTGCTGGCATCCCCGTGATGCCGCCCTTAAAAGCACAGTCTCAGCCCAGGTGTACCCACTCCAGGTGCCCAACATCAGGCATGCATTCAGGATCACAGGGTTCCCTCATCTATCCTGATGGCGGGAGGGCAGAAAAGCCTGAAACCTAGTACCTTACCCTACAGTGTGTTTTATTGGATTTACAGGAAAAAAAAACTCTTGTCATTTGCAACAACATGGATGGAACTGTGTATTGGCAACAGGCAGGCAGGGCGGTTGGGGGACACCAGCATAGGGGGCCAGGAGGTTCTGAAGGCAACCAAGTCTCCCAGTTCTCTCTCTCTCACTCTCTCTCTCTCTTCTTTCCTGTAGTCAGGCCGCTCGACTTCCTCTGTAGTCACATCACTGTTTTCTCTTAACCTCTAGGCACAGGTGTCCACAATCAGACACGCGTGCCCCGAGAGCACGCTTCAAGCGCCTTCCATGAACACATCAAGACCACAGGTGATGGCCACAGAGGCGCATGGTGTAAAACACCTGATTAATTCATTAACTCTACAAATTGGAAGGGCTCATGCTCAGCAAAATAGGCCAGAAGGAAAGAAACAAATCCTGGGTGGTTTTGCTCACATGTGGAATATAGAGAAACAAAAGGGTCAGACAAAACCTATTCAACTCTTTTCTTTAACTGCTTATCTCTTCTTCCTCTTTTCCTCCCATAAAAAAACCGGCTTTGCCCCTCCATGGGACAGGTGTTAGGTTTTCTACCTGAAACTATGTACCCCAAATTACTATTATTTGATCCCAAATGAACATGCTTTGCCTTTTCAATTGCATCCTGAATTTTTAGGTAGACAATCTGGCAGGTAAAGAGAACCGGACAAGTGTTCCAGGTGGAAAGGATGGTATAAATCAAGATATCAAGGCAGGAAAGCATGTGATCTATCTAGCTGGTATGCTGGACCCCTGGAGCAATGGTTCACAATTCATAGTCATCTAGACTCCAAAAATCAAAGCAAAACAACAACAAAACCCAAGCCAGACCTCAGATCAATTAAATCTCTGCAAATGAAGTGTGAGTGATACTTTGATTTATAATAAAATATACATATGTATTTGGTCCTCTTCCCATTTTTGGCACAGAATTCCTAAAACCCTAGGAGTTTTCTGTGGTGAGCGATAAAGGCATCTTTTCTATGTTAATAAGGTGACTTTTTGGGTCACACCTCAAGATGGGGGTGTAACCAACCATGTGATTAGAAAGTTAGAATTTGGGGGGCCTCCCTGGTGGCACAAGGGGTTAAGAAGCAACCTATGAAGCTATCTGCAGCCACTGCAGCACAAGTTCGATACCCCAGCCAGCCAGGGAGCAACCCATGTGGAACAGCAGACCTCTCCTGACACACCTGCTGCTCCCCTCAGCAGTGTACTTTGGTCAATCTGCCTGTTCTGTTCCCCACTCTTTCTCTGGTGAATCCTCTCACCCCTCCACACCTCTGGCCTGTACCCCAGCTCTTGTATGCATAAATAAATCTTTAAAAAAAGTTAGAATTTTCCATCCCACCCCAACTTCCTAGGAGGAGAGAGAGCTGAAAAGTCCAGTAGAAAATAACTAATGACTTAATCAATCATACCTATGTGACAAAGCCTTCATAAAAATCTCAAAGGATGGGGTTTAGAGAGCCTTTCAGCTGGTAAACACAAGGGGTGTTGGGGGGGTGACATGGAAACTCCACATCTCTCTCCCCATAATATCCCTCCTTTTATATTCAACCAGTGGTTGGGAAATAAAATGTTTATCTGAGTCCTGTGAGCTAATCTATATCAACCCCAAGCAGCTTCCAATCTCTGACTGGTCAGAAGCATAGTTAATAACCCGGACTTTATTTTTTTCTAAGGTTTTTTTTTTTAAAGATTTATTTATTTATACAAGCACTGGGTACAGTCAGAAGCGCGAGAGGGTAAGAGAATTCACCAGAGCCAGAGCGGGGAGCAGA